AGTGAAAGTGATGAATGAATGGAAGCTATGAAAAGTGAGTTAAGTGCAATTGAGAAAAATAAAACATGGAGTTTAGTTAAGTTGCCAAAGGATAGAAGACCCATTGGCTTAAAGTGGGTGTACAAGATCAAACGAGACCCGAATGGAAAAATATTAAAATATAAAGCAAGGCTAGTCGCTAAAGGCTACGTACAAAAACAAGGCATAGATTTTGATGAAGTGTTCGCACCGGTTGCTCGTTTGGAAACCATTCGAATCATACTTGCTCTTGTTGCTTCAAATCAATGGAATGTACATCACCTTGATGTAAAATCAGCTTTCTTAAATGGCAATCTAGAAGAAGAAGTTTATGTGACACAACCGGAGGGATTCGTGAAGAAAGATAAACCAAAAATGGTGTACAAATTAGCAAAAGCTTTGTATGGTTTGCGCCAAGCTCCACGAGCTTGGAATTTTCGCTTAAACCAATGCATGAAAGAGATGGGGTTTGAAAGGTGTCCACAAGAGTATGCAGTTTACACAAAGAAAAACAAGGGGAGCATACTAATAATTGGTGTCTATGTTGATGATCTAATTGTCACCGGAAGTCACAATGATGAGATAATCAAGTTCAAACAACAAATGAGCAAGGAGTTTGAAATGAGTGACCTTGGGATGCTAACTTACTGTTTAGGCATTGAGGTTAATCAACATAAAAATGGTCTCACATTGAGACAAACGAATTATGCTAACACCATCCTAAAGAAGGCCGGGATGTTTGATTGTAATCCTTGCAGGTACCCCATGGAGTCAAAGCTACAATTGACTAAGGATGAAGAAGGTGAACTCGTGGACCCTACCTCATATCGAAGCATCATAGGAGGGCTAAGATATCTTACTCACACACGACCCGACATAGCTTATTCTGTAGGCATTGTGAGTCGTTTCATGGAGAAACCAACCAAGCAACATCAAGTAGCTGTGAAGCACATACTAAGGTATGTAAAAGGAACTATGGACTATGGTTTATCATATACGAAAGGTGGAAAGAATTGCGTGATTGGATACACTGATAGTGATCTAGCAAGAGATGTTGAAGATAGAAAAAGTACAAGTGGAATGGCGTTTTACTTAGACAACAGTCTTGTTACTTGGAGTTCACAAAAGCAAAAGTGTGTTGCATTGTCATCATGTGAAGCAGAATTTATGGCAGCTAATAATGCAACATGTCAAGGCATTTGGATAAGTAGGTTGCTTGGTGTGTTGACCGGAAGAAAACTTGGTCCATTTGAATTGAATGTGGATAACAAGTCAGCTTTGGATTTGATGAAAAATCCAGTCTTTCATGGAAGAAGTAAACATATTGATACAAGATATCACTTCATTCGTGATCATATAGAAAGAGGCAATGTTATAGTAAAGCATGTGAATACTAATGAGCAGAAAGCTGACATCTTGACCAAGCCTATGAACAAAGTGAAGTTTGAAAGCATGAGAAAGTTGCTTGGAGTTGAAGAGATAAGAGTTTCTGAATTACAGGGGAGAATGTAAATGTAATTCAGAAAATTAAAAGTTTGTATATAAGTCTAATTAGGAATTAGGAAGTTTTGCTTGGTCAACAAGTCTAGGAAAAGTAGAGGTCACGTTTTTTTGTTTCCTATATATAGGTGTAATTATTTACTTTTTTTTTGATGAAGAACTTGAGCCTTAAGCATTAAAAAAGTTTTCTACTTGCTCCATATTTTTTCCCAGCACGTTTTTTTCCCTTGCTGTCTATTGTCCTTCTTTGTTTGTTTTGCTTTCTTCCTGCTTTGTTTTGATTCATAATAGCATATTAAAGCAAGCAAATTATCATTGTTTAAGAAGTTTAAACCAACAGAGATGACGTAGCTTAGATAACATTGCGATTTCTGTTCGGAATTCATGAAAACCTTGGCTGGATGATTGGTTGAGTCGTTTGATTGCTACGATGGTTGCTGCCTTGTCAATATACCCTTTGTATACCTTGCCAAACCCTCCGTTGCCTATGACACAGTTTTCGTTAAATTCATCCGTAGCAAGTTTGAGTTCTTTAAGTGTAAAACAACGACAGCGATCCGAGGGCAACTTTGTAGAGTTTGATTCAGTGGAAGTTGGGCCCCACCATGACTTATCTACGGCTCCACTTCGCCACCAGAAAACTATAAGTACAAGAACAGAAAACCAGACTATTCCTCCTCCAACACCTCCAATTATCACGACATATGGAGGCGTCTTCTTTTTCAGTTTTATGGGAGATGTCGGCTGTTCTGGTGGTGTTGTAAAACTAGATTTCGGATTGGGGCTAGAAAGATTACCAGTCATGTTCAACTTGAAGACTTCCAAACCATTCAAATAAGCATCATGATATTCTTGAGATTGGTCATTAGGACGCATTGAGAGCCACAAATATCGCTTGCTTCCGTGGCCATCTATGTCGTTCATAAACACAGCATAATCCTTGAATACAGGATACCCGGTTCCTGGAGTCCAGAAGAACACATCAACTTCATCCTCAGCAGTTTGATTATTAATGAAGAGCTTGAAAATCATCTGTCCTTTAAACGTGTATTTTGATATAAGGTTGCAAAAATGGAGCCTGAGCATGTACCAAAACCCAGAATCAACGGGAAGTCTCCAAGTCCGAATATATTGGTCAGAGTGATTGCCCATACTCCTTTGGGTTTGATAAATTAGCTCAGGTGCGGTATAATTAGGTGTGTCCGTTGTGTACGTTATCGGAATTTGACTAACAGGCGTCACTTCCATCATTAAAGAAGGAAATAAGTAAGACTCATCACAATCCCATGATCGATACATACCGGTATCATGGTTGCCTGAAATTTGTGCCCCGCCCACGTTTAGCCGGTACATATTTTCAAGACCCGTGTACTCATCAATAACAGGGCCTAAATTTGTTCCCACGGACCTTATCTTTTTATTCTTGAAATACAACTTTTCCGGCATAGAAACAATTTCAATACCATTGATGAAGGCAAACGAGTTGGGTGAGGGTGTAAAGGTAACATTAAGGATTTCGCTATCTTTTACATAGACAATGAATTCTTTCACAAAGCTGAAAACATTGGGACCTGATTGGGAGAGAAAGGAGGCAGTAAGGAAAGCATTGAAGTTGGTCAAGAGAGAGAAACCATTGGATGATACCGAGAAGAAAGATTCGTTTGCTTTGAGGCCGGAGTAGGTGGCAGGATAGAAATAGAGGCGGAGAAATTTAGGGCCTTGGGAGACCGGAAACTTGTAGGTGAATGAAAAACTGTTATAGATTCGAGCAGTGGCGTAAGGGATTTGATCGACTGAAGGATGTTGGACGGAAGGTTGGGATGAAAAGGAGGTGGTGGCGATGTTGGAGGGTACGAATTTAGTATTTTCATCACCATCCCATCTCCTCCCGGAAGTTATGGCACTGGAGGAAGAACCGCAGTTTAGGAGGAAGATTTCGGTGGCTTTGTATGGTTGAGCGGTGGCAGTGGTAGAAAGGAGGAGCAAAGAAAAGAGTTGGAAAGTGAAGGTGAACATGGTGTGTCAGATATCTTAGGTTAACAAGATTATTACTGGTTTTTATGAATCATACCAGGGGCATCGTTATTTTCTGCTTCAGTAGTAGACTTGGAAAGCCAAGCCTTGGACGTGTTTTCGTGTAAAAATCAGCATCCAAGAAGACTTTACAACCACTTGGACCATAGATTAGACAGACCATAACAAAGGGAAAGTGACAAGTTAACTTGATATTTGGTGTAGAAAAAAGATTGGCTGAAATTCAAAATTGGTGTATGTGGTTTTCACAATATCAAAATTTTATTTTGCATGGTCCAAAACCTGAAATTTATACCCATATAGTTCCTTTAAAACATAAAATACGAATCACACCTTTTTAATTTGTTTTTATGTTATATTTTTATATTTATTTTAATTTTTTTATAGTTAATTTAAAAAAAAAACTCATCCTGAAGGTGTTACGAAGATTATTTTGTTTTTTATAAATTAAAATGCACAAAAGAAAAATAAATAAATAAATAAATAAATCTAAAGATGTGATTGTTGTATCCTAAATTCCAACGTCGAGGAACTATACACGAATAATGATATAACTTTTTCCTTAAACCTTGCAATTATGGTTATTGATTATATGCAATTCTATATCGAATGAGATTTATGTTTTAGAAAAATCTCCACAAAAATTCCATTATTTTGAGACATTTTTTAATTAAGTCATATTTATATATTTTAAACAGAAAAATTCTGATTATTTAATTTTTTAAATAGCAAAACCCAAAAAAAAACCGAATAATTTATCCACTTTAGCCATTTTGACATGCTCAACAGGTCATGAGATTTTTCTGCATATTTCGTCAAAATTTGTATATAATGTATAAACGTATTTTTTATGTTTTTATATCTATTGTTACGTATTTATGTATTTTTTAAAAGTTTTATATATATATATATATATATATATATATATATATATATATATATACATATTTTTATGTATTTTTAAGTATTTTAAATGTCCGGTTATCTCAGTAAAAGTATTTTAAAAATTTAACAATTTGATTCATGAACTGTTAAAGGATTTGGTCACTATGTTTTATTATTGATTATTTCTGCTTTCGTTTCGTGTTGTAATAAGTATGTAGTTATATATAAAACACTGTTTTGTAACATTTGTTCATACACCCACTTCGTTGTTAATTTTACTATAAATTATGGTAAATTAATAAACCATTTTATTAATTTTACACGAGACTGTGTAACTATGTTGGTACCAACCATAGTATAAGAATACTCAAAAAAAAATGCAAAATTAATCACTATTAACTAATTATTAAACCAAATGGTCTTTGGCCTAGCGATAAAGAATGACTTTCTCGAATGAGAAATCATGGGTTCAAGTTTGTATATGTGATAAGTTAGGAATAAATTAGTTTGTTGTTAAAAAAATGAATAACAATTCAATACATATGAATAACAAATATTAACAATTATTGAACTTCCTCGAGCTTCAACTGTGAAAACACTTGGCTTTCACTCACATAACTCAACACCAAGTTATCATCCACATTAGATTCATCATTAAGCTGAGACGGTAATCGATCAATTATCGACATCGGCAACTGCAACGATGTATTGATTGTGCTACCATCATACGACTCTTTATCCACCGACATTAACTGAAGTTTCAACACATATTCTAAATACCACAACACGTCAACCATAATCGGCCTCTCGTCTCCGGTTTGCTTCAAACATCTCTCTACTATTTCTATAAATTTCCTTAGCGAGTATGGACAGATCGTATCTTTAAGAAACGGATCGATAATTTTCTCAACATTCCCATTTTTTAACTTTTTAATCGCCCAGTCGGCCAAATTCACTTCCTCTAGAGGAAGTTTATGGTCAAAAGCCGGCCTAGCACACAACACCTCAAGCAGTACCACACCGAATGAGTAAACATCCGACTTCTGTGTCAATTTCATACAACTGATGTATTCTGGATCCAAATACCCAAAACTCCCCTTAACATCCAGCATCTCGCTTTCTTCCACATTATCTAACCGCGATATCCCGAAATCGGCTACTTTCGCGACGTAATGATCATTTAACAAAATGTTTGATGATTTCACGTCACGATGAATTATTCCGCCTTCCGACCCTGTGTGAAGGTAGTGCAACCCACGAGTTGCACCGATACAGATCTGGAGTCTCTGTTCCCACGAAAGTCTTGGGTGATATGTGTTATCTTACAAATGATCTTGAAGAGTACCCTTTTCCATAAACTCGTACACGAGTAACATTTCGTTATTTTCATCACAATAACCGATCAAAGACACCAAATGTTTGTGGCGGATCCGTGACAACACCATGATTTCTGTCACGAATTCCGGCCGGCCTTGACCGTGACCTTGCTCGCCTCGTTTGACCGCCACTTTGGTTCCATGAAATGTTCCTTTATACACCTTTCCAAAACCTCCTCGACCAATCATTAAATTTTCATCGAAATTATTTGTTGCTTGTAATATGTCGGTAAAAGGGACCCTAAGATTGAGTTCCAGTTTTGGTGATGGATGGTTGACTGTGAAGTCGACGTTTATGCTGGTGTATGAACTCCGACCATATGATGGCACCACGTGAGACTCTGATTTTGCTCCGACCACCACCTGCTTTAGTTTCCCACATCTTGACCCGATGAAGAAACCTGCCAATAAAAGCAATAGAAGAGCTAAACCTGCAAGAACACATACAACCATGATGAACACACTCGTTACTTTCTTCTCGATGTTCGCCAGATCAGGCACACCGGATTTTTTCAACAACTCCATGATCTCGACTCCGTTCAAGAACACCGGCTGATTGCTACCAGGAATTGCGCCGATACTGATATTTACAAGGCCTGAAAAGTCCGGCTCCACTACCAGATCAACGTAAAATGGAGCCTTCAACGCCTGCATTCTGCTAACCGGTCGAATCTCCTCCTTGTGGTGGCTGTAGACAAAGAAGTTGAAGTCATCGTTGGAATTGATGAGGGCTCTGCTTATAATGTCGCAGAAATGAGCTCGAACCAGGTACATAGCGTTTTCGTTAACATCAAAATTCCATGTTATATTGACAAATCTGTTGTTCAATTGCTTGGCCGTTTTGTAAACATCATCAGGTGCATCGTCTGAGCTTGCTACGCCAAGGTAATAATTAATCGAGCCGTTAAAAGTAACTTTTTGTGCTGGTTCATTGCTGTAGATGAAGGAATCATCAGGTGTCCAAGTTCTTCTCAAGGTGTCAAGGTCTACGCCGATGGTTTGTCCTCCGACGTTAACTCTATAAATTGGGTTGAAAGCATAAGCAGATTCAAAGTTCTCCAGATCATCAATTTTTCCGGCGGGTGAAATACGTGGGTAGCTGACGCCGGGTTTAAAGAGATCAGACGGCGTCGTGAACGCTTCAATGGCATTTACAAAGGCAGAAGATGAGCCATGGGAGGGTGTAAACTCGATTGTGAACCGTCGGTCCAATCCAATAGGGATTATAAATTCTCTAATCACAGTCATGTTTCCGATGCTAAATTTGGATAACAGAGAAAACCCCGAAACTGAAACGTCTACTTTTGAGTAAGAAAGTTGGAATTCATTAGAAGAAAACGGGGAAAAATGAAGTCGTACCATGACGAAAGTGTTGTTTTCTTCTGCCTCCAGTTCGTATGATAATTTTTTAGCGAAAACTCTTGCTGTTCGATAAATAGGTGGCGTATTGATTGCCGTATTGTTGTTTTCAACGGCGATATGGCCACCGGAGACGAAGAACTCAGAGGGGTTGACGTCGCCAACGAAATTCCGGCCGGTGAAATTAATCTTAGAGTTTGATCCACAGTTGATGAAGTAGCGTTGGGGTAACACATACTGTGAGGAAATAAGTGAGAGAGAAGAGAGAAAGGTAAGAAGAAAGAAACACAGGGCAGACGCCATTGAAGCAAGTGAAGAATTTCTTGTTCGCATGGAACATTTATTGGTTTGCTTCACCGGACGAAGAAGACAACGTGTTAAAAAAGGTGTTGACGACGACTTTGACGACAAAAATCCGGTGGTTGTAAATGGATGACAATTAAGATTTGTTTTCATAATTTTAAGCATAAATACGTCAAATTAAATCATTGATTTTTTATTTTCTAATTTGCATAATTCAATAAAAAAAATATCCTTGTTACATCTATATCTATGTTTATTTATATACTATTGATAGAACAAAATAGTGATAATTTCGTATATCTCATTCCTAAATATCTAAATATCGTATATGTCTAACCTAAACTCTAAATATTGTATTTGTCATTCTTAATGTTTTTTAATATCATATATACCGAAATCTATTTTTTTTTATCATTTTAAATGATTTATAATTCTTTTTCAAAATATTAAATCATTATAATTAAAAAAACATTTTGAATAGATAATATTACCCTTGGTACTTGCTACCTCAGTTCACGATTGCCTCCATCAATAATCACGATCAAGCCTCTCCCTGTCATACCTCCGGTCGCTGATTCCCCTATGTCGCACACACTCATCAACACAAGAATCCCGAATTGTTACAATGTCGATACTTCCGACCGGGGCTTCTAGTCGCTGCTTCCCCTCTGTGTCGCGCATACTCATCACGAATCACAGGAATCTCGAACTGTCGCAATAGGCTACAGTAATCAGTTATCATGTAATTTTATGATTTTTTTGTCAATTGAACATTCAATTTGGGATTACAACTGGTGACTATGTCACCTACACATCTAGAATCTCGAATTGTTGAAGTCACCTACACATCTAGAATCTTGAATTGTTTGTGTGAGAGGATTTGATCGGAAAACTAGCGCTACCTCCCGTGAGACATGAAGTATGAAGCGAATCTTTAAGAAATAGCATTGTACTTTGAGAAATTCATGATATATAGTACGGGTGTTCGTGGTGCGGTTTGGTGCGGTTTAGAGTTGAAACCGCAAACCGCACCGCACATGCGGTTTGCGTTTTTTGGAAACCGCAAACCGCACCGCGAAAGCTCTAAACCGCATTATGCGGTGCGGTTTCATGCGGGCGGTTTGTGCGGTTTGTTTGCGGTTTATGCGGTTTGATAAGTTGTTCCAATTTATAACTTTTGTTGTTAATCATTCCATTTAAACACTTTCAAAATTTATTAATTATACTGCATACCCTTTAAAATGCATAGATATTGCAAACAAAAAAACCACAGAATCTTTTTCTAAGTTTGTTGTGACTTATGAAATTGATATCATTGTCTTTTAAGTCTTTAATTATCAAATTTAACCATCATGATATAGAAAAAAGTTATTCGACAGTATGAAGTATTTGGTGATTGGAAACTTTGATATATATATATATATATATATATATATATATATATATATATATATATATATATATATAATTTTTATTAATACGATGCGGTGCGGTTTGAACCGCGGTTTGGTAACTATAAACCGCAAACCGCGCCGCGTAGTGCGGTTTGACAAAATTACGAACCGCAAACCGCACCGTGAAATTCTAAACCGCATTATGCGGTGCGGTTTGGTGCGGTGTGGGCGGTTTGTGCGGTTTACGCGGTTTTTTGCAAGAATCCCGAATTGTTACAATGTCGATACTTGCGACCGAAGCTTCCAGTCGCTGCTTCCCCTCTGTGTCGCGCATACTCATCACGAATCACAGGAATCTCGAACTGTCGCAATAGGCTACAGTAATCAATTATCATGTAATTTTATGATTTTTTTGTCAATTGAACATTCAATTTGGGATTACAACTGGTGACTATGTCACCTACACATCTAGAATCTCGAATTGTTGAAGTCACCTACACATCTAGAATCTTGAATTGTTTGTGTGAGAGGATTTGATCGGAAAACTAGCGCTACCTCCCGTGAGACATGAAGTGTGAAGCGAATCTTTAAGAAATAGCATTGTACTTTGAGAAATTCATGATATATAGCATTGAACTTTCAAAATTTTGTAATAGTTAATTACAGTATATATATATATATATATATATATATATATATATATATATATATATATATATATGTATGTATGTTTTAATTGTAATATATACAATTTTGGTCCTTAAAGCATATATTTGGAATTAGTTACAGTTTGGTGCCTGAACTTTAAATTTGCACCATATATATACCAATTTGACAACAAATGCAAATGAAAGAAAAACTAAAACAAAATATTTAATTATGTCACGTACTAACAAAAAAATCCATGAACTGAACCCTAACTAAGAACATTTTCAACTTAAGCTAACAAAATTTTTCTAAAGGACCAACTAATTTCATGGGACTTTTTCATGTAGAACCTGAAACTCCCGAACCACCATGCGATTTTGTATCCTTTCCACGTAAACTTTTAGATATGCATGTTTCACTTTGATCGAAACTTTGAGATGCTGGATTTTTACATGTCTTTTTATGGTGTCCATACTCTCCACATCGCGGACACTTTTGTCTTCTTTTAGACTCATCCGATGATTTTATTCTATGTTTTTTTGGTCGTCCAGGTAAAAGTTTAATAATATGTGGATATATTTTCTCTCCATTTTTTTTGCGCTCATTGATCCTGTCCAGGCATCAAAGTAATTTGAAAAACATATGCAACTTTAAAGTTCTCTATAGTGAAATATGGATCAACATATTTGTCCCAGTTAGCATCCCTTATATAAGCAATAAAAGTCGTTGCTTGTACACATGGTCGGCCCTGAACTTGCCACACTCGACAACTACATTTTCTTTCATCTAGGTTGACCTCCCAACGTGTTCCCTTGTACTTCACTTCAGCTTGATTCTCAGAACTTCTAGTAACTTCATACTCACCCAAGTTCTACATGAAAAATTATATATATATATATATATATATATATATATATATATATATATATATATATATATATATATATATATATTAGATATATTAGATATATATATGTATTATTGAAGTAAAAACTAAAATAAATATAATCATTCAACTGAATTATTTAATATGCTAACCTTAGCGATGTCATTGAGATTGTTTTTAGCAATAGGAACCAATGTGTCATTCCATGTATTCACCAAATTTCTTTTCTTATCAAACTGTTTCATAATCTTTTCCTTACTTGCATCAAGGAGATCAAGCACGGGTTTATAGCACAATTTACCAATCCAAGAATTAAACGTTTCTGAAATATTATTAGTGATGTAATCACACTTGGAAGTAGTACCAAACTTGCTTCTACTCCATATTTTTTGTGGTTGTTATTTAGATATGCAATGACATCTTCATTTTTATCACTAATTTCCTTCAATAATCTGTCATGCTTGGTAGAACGGTAGGTTTTGGCAGCAGCCCATAGTTTTTTGTTAAAGAAGTCCCCAAGAAAGTGTTTCTTGAAGTTTCTATATAAGTTCCTCATACATTCTCTATGCTCAACATTAGGATAAACATTCATCATGGCTACTTCTAACCCTTTTTGCATGTCCGATGAGATAACAAGACCATTTGGCATTCCAATTGCTTTTTTCAATGAATCAAGAAACCATGTCCATGATTGTGTGTTTTATGATTCAAGCACACAATATGCTATTGGAAAGATAGAACTGTTACCGTCAATACCAGTTGCTGCAGCTAGTACACCATTGAACTTTCCTTTTAAATGACAAGCATCAAGACCAATATACAGACGACAACCAGGAACAAACCCTCTAGAATAAGCTTCTAAACAAATAAAAAACCTTTTGAAAAGTTTCTTTCCACCAACTATGTCAAAGTCAATTTCAACAACGCTTCCTTCGTTCCTTCGAAATATTTATTCTCTAAAGTCATCCATCTTCATGAAAGAGTCTTCCCACTTACCATACATGTCGGTATACGCTTGCTCTTTCCCTCTAAAAACTTTTAGGTATGGCACATCAACATTGTAAGTTTTCATAATCCAATTTCTAGGCTCATGTGGAGAGACCTCCCCATCAGATTTCAACTTGTCAGTAACTACATTAGCAATCCATCCTTGAGTGGCGTGCTTATTGCCACCCTTGTTGCTGCGAGTGCAAGAATGTACTTCTACCATTTTCTAAACCTAATAAAAGAATGAAATAAACATAAATATATTTTTAATATGAAGCATGTTAAATATAACTTAAGGTATACAGTTACTTCAAAGGTAACTTCATCTTGTGTAATAGAAGCATGAATTCTCCTCTCACACTCTAGGTTTTCACACCTTGCTGTATGACTGGAAAGTGGTTCAAATCTCTCCTAAAATCAACCACATTTTCAAATTTTGAGCCGACTTACATGATTATACTATTCTTACTAGATGAGTAAACTTCTTCATCATCATTCATTAGATCGTCTTCATTATCAGAACTGAGATGACTATGATAGCTTTCTTCACTAGGAAAAAGGTCTGCATCATACTCATCGTGTGGTTCATCTCTGTTGGCACAAAAATGGTTAGTATGACTATTGGAGCCGTGGTTATTCTTTGTTGTCACATAAATGGTTACTTGTTTCTCGCTTCCGTATATGACAAGCATAGCCATGAACTTTTCATCAGAATCAAGCACAATAAGGGACTTTTCTGGTGCATACTTGTCAACATAAAAAATAGAAAATTTTGGGTTGTTCTTTAATGAATAACGCTTGACCACTTCTTCATGTAGTTGACTAAATGTATATAAAAATGTGTCTATGTGGATACATTTTTGAGAGCCAAAGCAATATATTTGCCTACAACTATTCTTCATTAGCCGAAAGTAACCCCCATATTTCAATTTTAACTTGAACTTGGATGTTGGTATACGCCTGAAATTGAAAATTAATTAGAGAAACAATCATACAATTTACTAAATGTCTAATTAAATTAACATTAAGATATTCGCATAAACATACTCGATTATTGGAGATGTAGCCTGCTCTCCCATATTGGTTTTGATGTGTCATGAAGGGTAGTATCTTCTGTTTGAGAATGATCTTCCGACATTGGTTTGTATCGCCTCTAAAATATAATTTTAAGTCGGCTATAAGAAAAAAGAAGATATAAAGGTATAACAACATGACTACAAACATCAACATTGCATAACATTGACACAATAGCTAAGAGTAGCTGATTCAGATTCATGGGTTGTACGCCTTTTATGATTTATCAACTTCTGAAAATGTTATAAATAGATACTCAAGAGTTTATAACTGTATTTACTCATTCATTGTTGGGTGCTCTAATTGGTTGTTGCAATTAGGGAATTATTTCACATGCTGAAATAATTAAGAGTTAAGACAATGAGCTATAACAGATCAAACATAGGTTCTGGTTAGTCTCTTCCCATGAAGCCGATGTTTTGACATCAATTAGTTTTCTTCATGGTATAATGGAATCATCAGACAAATTAGACAAATTACATGCAACTGCATTAAGTCTAGGAACTGAATTGCAAATCTTTTGTTCATATTCATGTGATACAACTGATAACATAATAGTCAAGTATATTTTACATGGGTTCATTTGTTGCTTCCAAAGACCTGATGTTATTCTTTTACTCAACAGGTTTAGAATATGATAGTCCTTTTGAGTTCTTGTTGAACAAATCAAACAACAACAACAACATAATCAAAATTGAGGAAAGGAAATGGATTCGGTTTTTAGTTACCTGATGCGTGTGTGTATACGATAACAGGGGAAGCACCGACTGGAAGCAGCGATTGATTGGATGCAGCGATTAGATGCAACGATCGGAAGTATCTGGAAAGGTTCGATCGTGACACAATGATTGGAAGTATCAAGGAAGGCTCGATCGTGATTTTGTGATATGGGGGAAAACGCTATCTCAATGAATCTGATCAATAATGCATGTGAAACGTGTGTTGTATTGGAAATTAGAAGGAAGGGTATTATTGTCCATTCATAATGTATTTTAATTATAATGATTTAATATTATGAAAAACAATTATAAATCAATAAAAAATACCAAAAAATAGATTTGGGTATATATGATATTAAAAAACATTAGGAATGGCAAATACGATATTTAGAGTTTAGGCCGGGCAAATACGATATTTAGCTATTTAGGAAGGGCGTTTACGAAATTCTCCCAATAAAATAAATAACTTTAGTTGCCACGTCTCATTTTTCTATACACTTATTTTTATTTTTATTTTTTTTATTTCCCGCTCAAACGAAAAAACAATCACAATTCCCTTTTTATACTTCTTCTTCGAGAAAATCGCATAGAAACCCATAATGACTTTCCAAGTTGAACTGATAAATCAACAACCAAATCACTGATTTTTTTTTGCTTAAAAAGGTAACTCCTTCCCATAATTTGTGATGCTCCTTTCTGCCTTGGGTGTTCAAGAAGATGAATTAGGAACTTTTATTTCATGATTTGGTCATCAAAAAACAATCCAGACACCAACTGAATTTCGCCACCTTCGTTTTAATTTAAAGGAGTACATAATCTCTAATTCACCTTTTCTCATCTAATTTGTGTTCGGCCTTTTTAGGAACCAACTACAATTACTCAATTCGGAGAATCAAGAAAACTTCCATTACCATCTTTTTTGTATAATGGCGGTGTTTTATGGGACAAGAATTTAAGATGTTGTTTGGGATTACTTTTCAAAGTGACTTTGAAAAAGCCAAAAGTTTGAAAAGGTGTTTGACAAATCTAAAAAGTCTTTTAAAATGAATTTTTGGCAAGAAAAATGAGTTGTTTTAAAAGTCATGATTTTGTGACTTTTGGATTTTTTGCTCTTACTTCCTCAAAAGTTAATCCAAACTAATTTTAAAACCTCCTTTAAGAAAAAGCCATAAGTGAAAAAGTCTTTTTGTCAAAAATGACTTTTTAGACAAAAAAGCAATCCTAAAAACCCCCTAAGGTAGCTTAAAAATTAAATTACTTCTAGCATGATTATAGATATGAAAATTATTTATGTGCTACTATTTCATTAATCATATGGAAGAAACCAATTGACCCCTTTTCTGCCCTCATACAACTATTCCGTTCTGATTGCAGCTATAAATCAAAAGAGGTAGCCTTTGAATCCTTTATGTTGAAATAATTAAATGTTTTGTTCTAGATCAAACTAACATTTTGTTGTTAATTTTTTGTTTTGGATATATTTGGTATTGTTATCTGTTCTTTTGGTTGTAAATGGATGCATGTGTTAAAAGAGATAGCCTTTGAATTCTTTTGGTTGCAGGTGTCATTAATTTGTTTTGCAGGTGTCATTAATTTGTTTTGCAGGGGTTATTTGGTTAATATTTTCGGGTTTTACATGTGGGTCTTCGGATCCTCCTTGACCCGGTGTATTTAATGCTGCTTTCTTTTGCTGCTTTCTTTTGGTTCAGATCCTTTATATGAAAGTTTCATCTTCACACATTCTCCAATTTTCACTCTTTCTCTCTCTTGTTATGTAATGTGAATAGATTAGGGGTTGTTCATAAGAATTCTTTGAGTGTAACTATTTGAGAGTAGAATAGGAGTGTTGTAATGGGTTTTCATTGTAAAAGTACTTGTAAAACGAACTGGTTTGATCGTGAATCGAGTTATTCAAGTTGGGAAATCATCTGTTTTTACTTTTGTTTTGTTTTTCATTATGAAAATCCCCACATATGAATTTCTACCATGCTTCATTTAATAACCTCCTGCCTTCCCAATTGTTCATGACCAACTTTGCCACATTCTTTCTCTACTCGCTCAAAGTGGTAACAAACCCTACATTTTCTCTTATTTTTTTCTATTAACATTTAGTTGTTTTTATTGTTTTTAGATGCTCATCCATCACTACAAGATTTCCGGGCTATAGTGGCGACAATAGTCGCCGGTAAAGAGTAAGCTAATCGCCGGTAAAAAGTCGTCGTTACTGCTCTGTCGCTATTGATCAGAATGTCGCCAGTAAATAGAATTGTCACCGCTAATGCTCATGTCGCCGGTAATACTTCGTGTCGCCGCTAATACTGCCGTCGACGGTAATAACATTTTTCATTTTTTATTTTTTTTAATCAACGATTTTGGGTATAAAAACCGATACATAACAACGTTAAAAAAAAGAAAAAAATTACATAACAACATCCAAATAAATACCAAATACTGTTATAATTAATTTCATACCAAAATAAAATAACCAAAGTTTTACAATTCTACCAAGTAGCAAAAGTAAGTTTTACAATTCTAACAAGTAGCAAAAGTGTGACAACAAGTGTAACATACAAAACACAAACTAATTATCCGACGAACCATCATCTTTGTTCCCATCGTTTCCTCCTTGATTATTTCCCGATTGAAAAAACGAATAAAGCTCCTCCCTACATGCCGGGTCGTTGAACATTGCCCGAAGATTTTCCAACTACATAATAAATAACAACATATATAAAACTATAAGTTAAATTATCAAACATAAACAAAAACTACCAAAGTACCTTACTATTTCTTGCACTTAAATACAAGATATACAAAAAGTACATTGATATTTCTTGCACTTGAGACAAAAGCACAATTACCAAATCCACATGCATTTATCGATGCCAAAGTACATTGCTATTTGTAAACTAAGACATAAAACCAAAGTACATTGTTATTTCTTGCACTTGGGACAAAAACCCAATCACCAATGCTTTTAGCAAATAATCACCACAAAACCAAAATTACCAAATCAATATGCATTTTATGATGCCAAAGTACATTGCTATTTTTAAACTAGAGACAAAAAAGCAAAGTACATTTATATTTGTTTCACTTAAAATATAAACACTTGAAATAATTTTACTCTATTTGTCTTCAAAAAAAACCTTAAATATAAGAAATACCAAACTACATTGCTATTTCTTTCACTTAAAATACAAGAAATACCAAAAATACATTGTTATATCTTGCACTTAGGACAAAAGCACAATTACCAAATCAACATGCATTTATTGATGCCAAAGTATATCGCTATTTTTAAACTCAGACAAAAAACCAAAGTACATTGCTATTTGTTGCACTTGGGACAAAAACCAATTACTGAAGCTTTTAGAAAATAATCTCCACAAACAAAAATTACCAAATAACCATGCATTTATTGAAATTAAATAATCTTGTTTTACCTGTGATGGCTGTAGTGGTAGTTGCGATGGCTGTGAAATCAGCGGGAGAGCAGAAGGTTTCCGGACGATGCCTCTGATATGGCCACATCGTTATCCTAATACTTTCTTGAAATCAGCTCTTTCTTGAGCGGGTGATAACTCACTTTCACATTCTGGCCCTTGCGTTTGTTCTAAGAGCTCTTCCACTAACCGATTCTGTATTTCCCAAAAGTGAGTAACAATTAAGTAAAAATAAACACTTAACTATATGATAAAATTATAATTAAAAACTTATTTATTGTTGTTCCGCCTCGACAGTAACAAATACACCATCCCTATCGGTATGAGCCTTATGAAATGTTTCCACTCTCTTAAGGTTCTGTTTAACATAAAAAAATTAGATTATATTTTAAATAAATAATTACATGTATCGTACGTTGCCTTCTTATAGCAAGTACTGCTATACGAGCTCGACCCCCCACGATTCACGGTCGTTTGCATTTGACGAACTTTTTTGTTCCTTTTGGAAGTAATTTCGTGTTTGTCCGTTTGGAAATACTTAACTGTTTTCTTCTAATTATCAACATCCATACCATCTGGAGGGTTGGCTAATGCTCTCGGGATATCCTCATACCCTCCGACTTCCAAAAAATATTCTTTTGCATCAGCCTTACGCTCTCGATAACCTTTTAAGAAATTTGCTTGTAAACTCTTTGTCAACATATGAGCGTCTGGACATCTGATCCAAATCAAACTTTGTCTATAAAGTAAAAACCAATCATAATTAACCATATAAAATATTTTTATATAAATAATTTACCCCTAAATGTTGTATTATTGTATACTTTATTGCAGAGGAAA